GAACAACAAGAACAACAAGAACAACAAGAACAACAAGAACAACAAGAACAACAAGAACAACAAGAACAACAAGAACAACAAGAACAACAAGAACAACAAGAACAACAAGAACAACAAGAACAACAAGAACAACAAGAACAACAAGAACAACAAGAACAACAAGAACAACAAGAACAACAAGAACAACAAGAACAACAAGAACAACAAGAACAACAAGAACAACAAGAACAACAAGAACAACAAGAACAACAAGAAGAAGTCTCAATTTTCTAACGAGCCTTATTTTGAATTCCATCAACAAGAATATCAAAAGGGGTGTTGTTCTTCTTGGACGAAAAAATGCTTCCTAATTACAATTTAAACCAAATCCACTTACTCAAGTTTTCTTGCTTATAATAAAAGACTTCATAATCAGCTGGTCTAAAATTGTAAGTACCAGCAAAGAAGGTGCACGCTGCATTAAAAGTACAACCAGGGGGCACTTGATAGGCATAGGGCTTTGTAAACGAGCCTAAACTACTCGAAGCAAGATTAGTGATGTGTATGTCATGACCTGGGYCAAAAGTAGGACCATAACCTAAATTGCCATAGATAGCTTGGTAGTTTCTGTTTCCAGTGAGGTTGAATTGCAGTGGTTGGAAGCCATTGATGGTGTTGTGTAAGGAGAAGAGAAATGATTTGGTTGATTCTGAATACCCTCCAACTAATTAAAAGAATAAAAACATAACTTTGAGAAATTATATATAATTAGGAGGAGCCGACGGGTTCCTGGGAGAAATATATCTGTTCTTAGCCCCAACCAGCTCCGGCGAGAAATTCAGAGAAAAAACTTTCCAGGCGAGGAATACTTTCTAAGAATTTTTGCCAGGAAATATAAATTTCCTAACTACAAAAATATCAGCCGTCTTGACCATAAAAACGATATATAAGCCTGTTTTGAACTTTTAAAAAAACGTTTGCCAGGAACAGATTTTTTTTAAGAAGGAAGGGCGCCACATTTACTTGTGAGATTGTCAGCAATGTAGCTCAAAATCCCATGGGCTCCTCCTGTATAATGTTGTTTGAGTCAAGTCACAATTCTGTTAATAGGAAACTTTTCTGGAGTTTCGGTTAAGTTCAAATACTAGCCGAACACTTTTTCCATTGAGCCAAAAAAGGGGCCACTGACAAGGAAAGCATTCTGCTCTTTCAAATACAATACAATTGGCAAAAGTAATTATAATCAATTTTTTAAATCCATTTTATTACAATTTATTTATTTTAAACACCATTTTTCCTCACCTGAATGCCATGGCCTGTCAGTGAATCCACCAAAAATGGACAAACGAACACGGATTATGGTTACAGCTGGTTTCTTGCCATCGCACTGAGGATGAAAGTACATCCGGGTATCCCAGTGCCCTGGTAMAGCACGAAAACATCTTATCCATGTTCCAGGCCCGAATGGTTTCAATGCCGGACCGAGGAATCCAGCAAGAGCCGCTGTATAATTATTGTTGTCTGCGTTCACAAGGATTGCCGAGTTCTCGAGGCCTCCTGGAAAAGTAATTATGAAGTGTATAATAATAAATCCTTTCCATACCACTAGAGTTGATACATAGGATACAAAATGTCAAATTACAACAGTATGCAAGCAATAATTATTAACTAAATAATAAATCTATCTTTTATGTAAATGTAATGTATTATTGCTATGTTGTTGATGATAATCAACATTAATTTGCGGAAGCTCTCCTAAGCACACAGCTCTAGATTGCTCAAAACCCTGGCTGATTTTAAAATCCATTAAACGATTGCTACGCAAGACGATTTTGCTTGCTACAGAATACTATTTTCAGCTCATAGTTTGTCTGATATTCTTCGTTTTCACTATACGTCACAGCGGCCATCTTGGAGGAACTTCAACAAAAGATTTCTCATTAGTATCTATTGTCCATTCCTCCAACATGGCCGCCGGTCTATTATCTTTTGAAACGATATAGTAAGACATTCTCATTGCTCGATTGGCCTCTCATTGTCTCGGCGGGATTTAGATATGGGGAGCGTGACTTGCCGAGGCAATGATGAGGGTAAGGTATATAAAGTTTGTTGCCGTCGCCGAAGGGGAGGAGGGTGGGTCGAAAACCTTGACTCTGCGTCTTCGGCGGTCGAGGCGAAAGGAGGTCTAACTCTGGTTTGCAAGGTCTTATATAGTTAATTACCCGTCCCTGGGGACATACCATTGTGCAAGGTTATTCCCAGATGAGTATTAATCAATAAACCCGCCCGCAAGGCCTTATTTCGAGTCCAATCCAGCAATGAGAATAGAAATGAAAGAAAGTTATAGTGCTTAGAAGGAGGCAATTCCGGGAGAAAGACCCTTAGGAATAAACTCGGAAAAATTAATTTCCAACCTCGCTGGGATTCCAACACACGACCTTCGGATTTGTACTACCGATGCYCTACCAGCTGAGCTACAAGGCCTATCTTTTGAATCTCATGGTAATGGTTGAAAGCGATCAATAATCAACTTTATATATTTTGGTCCAATRACTATGTACAAAAGAACGCACACGAGCTTCCGGGAAAACAATGGATAATCTTGATTTATTCTTTTATTTCCCCGGAGCCTCGTCTCCAATTCTTCTGTGCGTGGTCGATTATTGCGTTAAATGGTTTAATTTGAAACGAGATTTGCGCGAAAAATCAMTCTGTGCAGTGAACATGTGTCAAAAATAGAAGAACGAATTAACTTTCCAAACATCAGTAGGTTATTTCACCTGTTTCACGCTGTTATAATCTTACTTCACAACTGTTTCCTTAGAAATACCGACGAAACTCACACTAGTTTTCATCAAAGAAGCTTACATTAATATTCATCTTTCATAAGTTTTTTCCATGCGTGAAATTTTAGACCAAAACCAACTTATCATTATCCGGCGAAAGTTTTCGATATTATTTTCYTAGAGACCAAATGAGGCGAAGTCATGCAAAGAAATACATCAGTACAGCCATACTGATACAATTTTTTATGCAGCCATGTAATTTACAGTCTAAAACATATGTAAACATGAAGTTCTCTTTTGTTTTGCTCTTCTTGTTTTYTAATTTTATTTTCAAATCCTAAAAATTCTTCCGGACGACCAAAAATAGTTCAGRACCACGTATGCGCAAAGGCTTAAAAAGTGATACCTAAAATCACATGATTTCAGACACAAATTGCACAACAGGTGTACAACTGGACTAATAATAAGATTACTTTTGAATACAGAAACAAGCCATGAATTAATAAAACTATCCGAAGAATACGGACAAATTTGACATCACAGTGGGAGACAACCGTTGATAAATTCAATGTCAAAATTATGATAATCTATTCCAAAATTTCTCGTAGATTCCTTTTATTATCTAGAATACTCCAGTTTCGAATTCCCTTTTGTACAAGGCTAGCTTCATTCAAGCATAAATTGATATTGTCTTCTTTGTAGACAGAGTGTTTGCATTACAATACGATCTCTGCTGAATAAAAGAGTAGATTACATGGTTTCGAGGTTAAGACTGCACACATAAGATCTCGAAACTGGAGTATTATAAGTTCGGATTTGTGGCCCTGTCCTTAAACGTTTCCTTTTAGGATTTTCGCGTATTTCATGGATCATGGACGGAATGCACATGCGCAGAGAGCAACGTAATTAGTATTAAGGATGCGTTCATTGTTTTAAGAGGTAGTGGCCCCATAAACTGCTAGCTAAACGAGCCCTTCAATATACTGAACCCTCACAAATGTACACCCAGGCTTTACTCTYACATTAGGTCTTCAAAAGTGAGAAATAGCTAACTTACTCGGTCCGTATTCGCAATGATCCCCAGTGTAGAGTTTCTCACAAGTACAGTTGAATTGAGTCGTTTCGCTGTCATATAAACAATCGCCGCCATTTTGACAAGGAGAGTCTTGGCAAAGATTCTATAAAGATATAGAGTGGTTATTTACTGGGAGTGGTTGTGAAATCATTAAATCCGTGAAACAAAACTTGATAGAGTCATTTTCATCCGTCTGTGAAACAATTACTATTAGTCATTGTTTAATGGTAACTATTAGGGTGTAGCAGGCTACCAAAAGGCAAAATCGAAACCATGTTTGCCTAATTAGTTTGTCGCATTTCATAAGGTAAACTATTGGGAGCTAATAGGGGATAATAGTATTTAATAGTACAATTCTTATTTCACAGACGGATGAAAATGACTCTAGTCAAACAGACAAAAAAGAAAGCAATGAAATCGAGAATACTAAGGTGTATTTTAGTTGACTTCACTAGAGTCTAGTTCAACTTATGATATGCGACAAACAAATTAGGCAAACACGGTTTTGATTTTGCCTTTTGGTAGCCTACTACACCCTAATAGTTACTATTAATCACTGACTAGTAGTAATTGTTTCACAGACGGATGAAAATGACTCTATAGGCTGGTGCGGCATCTTAGGTAAACTGTTGTTACGCAACAACTTTGGTTCGGCTCCACGCAGGTGTTATATCTAGAGTGAAGTCAAAACACCGGCCTTGAAATAGATATTACACAAATACACCTTAGTACGCTCTAATTGCATTGGGTTTTTTTATGTGTCTTTTTGACTATAACACTTTCACAATGAATGTTTTGTCTTTACTTCCTCCTTTAAAGAACAGGAGAGTTGGTTTTTAATGGTAACATCAAGACTTGTCTAGTAGACGATAACAATATAAAAACGACTTGCTGTCTTTTGCAATGAATACGACTATTAGACTACTACACTGTACTAGTTTCTTTATCACTAAACAATGATTGGATTTTACAAGAATGATCTAATTTTATCACTAACATACCTTGACGCTGTAGTGATTGTAACGACTATCTTGAGTGATATTTTCTCGATTTGTGTAGAAATCCAAAGACAGTAGTTCGCATGCATGTAAACCACTTTGAAGAGGTGATTTTCTAAAGTTTACAGACTTACACCAGTTGTTTTCAGTACAGCTAAACACACAGTCAAACTTGTCAACAACTTGAACAGACTTCTGCTCGGCAGAAACTGGAAGTACAGACAATCTTCCTGGGTAGAAGTCGTATTGGCCATCTCTCTCTCGCTCAAATATACAAGAAACTTGATAGAATTTTAGAAATGATATGAAAAGAAGACTTTGAGTCGACCAATTCATTTCTCCGCCAATTTCGTAAGTCGTCAGTCCTAGAATAGTTGTATATTACTGAATTATTTAGAAGGCAATTTCGTGGGCGCAATGGGTCGCCGAGACCCAAAAATCGACTTGAATTAGGCGTTTATAAGTGTCATTAGCGTCGAAGCTGTTTTTAAATTTTATTATTAAGCGTYATTTAGATTTCGTCTTATTGAAAACGTGCGMATCGTAAATAAAGAGATTATAATTTAGTTTTTCGAGCAGATTTTGTAAGACACAGCAARGACAAGCAATAATTGATTAAAAGGAGTAACACCTCCTTGATATTAATTATGTATAATAGTTTTCTAAGTAGCAAAATTGTCACAGTTGATAAAATTAAAGATCTTTTTTGTTAAATTGTCTAATTAATGCAATTTTCGAGGATTTTTACCAAATTGTTTCAAGGATATCACGAATCATTTGAAATTGGTTGAACGAATATATATTGCATACGTTATAACGCCAATGTACGAATTCTATTCAAAATTCTGCTTTCCCTTAATTAATAGCGCAAAGTCAGTCCAGCTGGAATACTTTGTRTAAACAGTCTGGTGTTTTAAAACCTTTTAATTCGATGCATGTCAACCATCTTTAACATTTATTGATATGAATTTTCTCATACAAGGAAATGCGTACTAGAACTGACTTTTCTACCCAATATTTTTTTCTTGAGAGAAGAATAGATCCAAATTTCCAGTGTTTTTGTTTCTGTAAACATGATGTGACGTCAGTATTCGATAGGTCGATTAAAACTACCTCTTCAAGTCCAAATAGATAGTGTTTGTATAACCATTATTTCACAAMAGCTCTTAATTTTTCCATTATATACCGCAAAAAATCTTCTGAAATCCCGAAAATCTCGCATAGAAATACAGTAAACACCTACAAATAAGAGCCTTGTCTTTTGAAGGAGTTTTAAGGAGTAGTTGTTGGTAATTTTGGCAAAAAAGGTTCTTAATTAGGTTCTTAATTGCTTTTAATTTTTTTTAATTAAAAGAAGTCTGAAGCACTGTTCTATAAAAGGTTGAATGTCCCGTCAGTTTATTGCTTTGTCAGTGCTACATGACTTTGTTCAATACCAAATGGTGCTAGCTATATAGGATATAAAGTGTTTGTACTACTGTATTATATAGGGTTTGTTTATCCAGAAAAATTAGCTCTAACCTATAATATAAGAACCTGCTTGCTAATGTTTGCTTAAAGGCCGTGTCACACTAGCGTTTTTTTCGTGCAACTTGGTCGCGCAAAAAAATGTTGTAAGTTGCACGAGCGTTTTTTACGTGTGACACCCCCTCGTGCAACTTGAACATTTCATTTTTTTGTTGAGAGAAAAGTAGAACTGGCTTCTACTTTTTTCAACATTTTTCTGAAAAACGCGTGTGTGACATGGTCTCTTGCAACTTCCAAAATTTTCAATTAGTCGCACGAACCAATAAGAAAGCGAGAATCTGTCCTGCTGTCACTTGTTGTAATAATCAACAAAGATGMCCGACGCCATCTTTGGCGAAAGCGATAATTTTGAAGAAGAAAACGAGACAGAAAGTGAGGTGATCGTACATTTTCAATTTACGCGTGCAACTTGAACATTTTCTTGCGCGAGCTAAGTTGCAACATTGTACATTTCCACGTACAATAGTAATTGTGACTGTCTCGATCTTTTTAATTTTTGAGTGCTGCTTAATATTTCAGTCTTATCTAGATACGGAATTCATTTCACCAAGTTCCGCCTTGGTTTTCTTAATCTACGTTTTCTTGTGTCAATTTTAATTTCATTGTATCGTTTTGTAGTTTTAAGTTATTTTGCGTGTTTTTCAGTTATTAACGGGTTGGAAAATAAAATTTAGGACCGTTTTTAGCAAATTTTCAGTTGTTGGCATGAATTTTGCACGATTTCATGCCATTTACACATAAAGACCGTTTTTTGGCATAGAAAAGGCATGATTCATGCCTCACAGGTGTAAAAATCGTTGAAACATATGATTTTAAGTTATAAAAATGCGCGTTTCCGGCATGGATTGAAGCTGAGCGTTCATCTAACATCATTTTTAGCATGAAGCAAAATATTTCATGCGTATAACGGCAAAAATCACGTTGAAGCGTACACGACATGGTAGAAGTGTTTCAAAACGTTTATAGGGCATGAGCTAAAATTTNCCGACGCCATCTTTGGCGAAAGCGATAATTTTGAAGAAGAAAACGAGACAGAAAGTGAGGTGATCGTACATTTTCAATTTACGCGTGCAACTTGAACATTTTCTTGCGCGAGCTAAGTTGCAACATTGTACATTTCCACGTACAATAGTAATTGTGACTGTCTCGATCTTTTTAATTTTTGAGTGCTGCTTAATATTTCAGTCTTATCTAGATACGGAATTCATTTCACCAAGTTCCGCCTTGGTTTTCTTAATCTACGTTTTCTTGTGTCAATTTTAATTTCATTGTATCGTTTTGTAGTTTTAAGTTATTTTGCGTGTTTTTCAGTTATTAACGGGTTGGAAAGTAAAATTTAGGACCGTTTTTAGCAAATTTTCAGTTGTTGGCATGAATTTTGCACGATTTCATGCCATTTACACATAAAGACCGTTTTTTGGCATAGAAAAGGCATGATTCATGCCTCACAGGTGTAAAAATCGTTGAAACATATGATTTTAAGTTATAAAAATGCGCGTTTCCGGCATGGATTGAAGCTGAGCGTTCATCTAACATCATTTTTAGCATGAAGCAAAATATTTCATGCCTATAACGGCAAAAATCGCGTTGAAGCGTACACGACATGGTAGAAGTGTTTCAAAACGTCTATAAGGCATGAGCTAATGTTACATGCTGCATATGCACAATTTTATCATCACTTGGATCATTTTCATATCGCCTCATAAATACCCAGGAGGCATTGCGAACATTTATAAATTCATGAAGCTTTGCGAGCACTTTTATGCTGGGCATGAATTCCCATGAAGCGATGCGACCGTTTTCATACTGGGCATGACATCCCATGAAGCGTTGCGACCGTTTTCATGCTAGGCATGAAATCCCATAAAGCGTTGCGACTCGTTTTCATGCTGGGCATGAAGCGCACGTGTGAAACAACACAACATTTGATGTTTGCCTTTTATTGTTAAAGGAAGATTTCACGTTTGCAGTTGCAAAGTTTTTGAAAGATCAGATCATCTATGTTCTTCCGCGGTTAAATAATATCAGTTGCTCCCTCCAGAGTGAAATTCCAATGACTTCCCATTTTTCATTCCTATGATTTTATTATGAAATATGTATAAATATATGTTACTCACAGGCCTTTTGTTCACATATCAACAGAAAGAAATGGCATGATAATATAAACACTGAGAACACAGCAATTTAAAGGTTTCAATTTGAAATGTAAAACTTATGTTTTGATAATATATTCATTAACTAGTTATTTAGTGTTCAAAACAAATTTCAGGGAAAAGCGCCTATTGTAGACTTTGGGCTACCTGTGGCCAGGCTGTCATAAAAAAACTTTGCTACAACTTACTGCAGTGCATTCTTCGTCGAAAGGCGTATCTTGAAGCTTTCCATCACTACATAGTTTCACTAGTCCATCACCACCAACATTTTGATACCAATTAGTACTAAATTCCTACAAAAACGCCATTCATCAGTTGTATAGTCAAGAAGTCAAGTCCTTGTGTGTAAACTTAGCATTGGATATCTCGACAAAGCACATGCTGCAAACTGTAAGTATGATAGCTTACCGTCTTAAACAGCGATAATTTCAACCTTGTATGGGAATGTTTGACATACTCGTCGCTTCAGGCACTAGTATTTTCCTGTCTTTGCAGTCGAAGTGATCGTTTGTTTTCTGTGTCGGTTGAGTGAAAAAAAAACGGTTTTTTCTCGTTAGAAAATTGCGTGATACACGAATCGACTCACGAACCCGAAGGAGGTCGAGAAATCATCGAGAATGAGAAATGGGAGAGCTTGAGCTAACCCGATAACATTTCCCTATATTTAAGATCAAAAATTGAAAGCCGAAGATATTACGGAACTTAATTAATGGCGTGTTTTGAAAACAGCTCAAAATTTGCGCCGTTTTTTGCTCACTGCGTTTGTCCTCTTGAATATGAAGGCTCTCATATAACGGTCTATTACAAAAGTAAGTTTTTGAATGACTAAATACACTCTTTTGTTAAAAGTATTTTAGCTAGAGGATAAACCTTTCTTTCCAAATGTTTTTATCATAAACAGTTTTAGGCAAATATGTTGTGTCTCATATTTACGGTAAATGACTTTGTTTCCCTGTTTCCTTGACCGAGGTTATCCACTCTGAGTTTGTTATTTATGATATTACATTTCCTTTCATAGAGACCTCTTAATAAGGGGCATCACACAAAAAGTGGAGACTGGGATCAAATGATGTCTTTCAAATGCTGTTTTTCAAAGTAAGTTTTCTTTATAACAACTGTAAATATTTGAAAGATTAAATGTTGCTTTCATTGATAATCAATGTAAAAGGCAATGAAGAAAATGTTTAGATTTTCTTTCGTCAATTCATCATGACTTAAGTTAAGTGATCACCATCTACAAAAACAGCAATCATCATTTCAGTACTGAATACAAGAGTTTTAATCCTCAAATTTAAAATGTGATGAAATTAATATGTGTACCTTTTGAACAGTGAAGAGTCAAAATGAGAAAATTATAGCATGCCTTCTTGTTATAAAGAGAATAATTGTGCTTGTAAACAAGAAACTCACATTTAAGTATCCCTTCAGGACTTTTCCATATTTCTAGTCCCGAACATTTTTGTCATAACATGTTGGTAATTTTTAGTAAAATATAACAAGCAATAATCTGAGTCAATTGTCATGTAAATACTGTAAGTAGTTCTTAGTTCTTATTATCCTTTTTTTTCAGTGGAAATTGTCCAGAATGTCAACTATTGCAACAGCCTCAGAGAAAACTTGGGAATTACATCATATGTTATCCGTCAATTCAAATCATTTTTTAGCATCAATGATATTTCTTATTTAAAGTATATCAAGAATATTAAAATATTGAGAAGAATCAGATTACAGCTTGTCTTTTAGCGCCTCTGCCGCGTTTGTTGCAACGCTTTATGGAATTCCATGCCCAGCATGAAAATGGCCACAAGGCATCATGGGATTTCATGCCCAGCATGAAAAACTGGGTTGCAACGCTTTATGGGATTTCATGCACAGCATGAAAACGGTCGCAACGCTTTATGGGACTTCATACCCAGCATGAAAATGACCGCAAGGCATCATGGGAACTTACTACCAGGAATGAAAATGATCACAAAGCTTCGAGATTACGAAAGGAGCTAAATCTGATATTTCGGCAGGCATGACCTTAAAAAGTTAATGCCCCTGCAATAATTTTTTAGGTGATACACGACTTCTGTAATTTTATCATGTCAAAAACATTATAAATTGTGGGATCGATCACAATCCTGTTTATAATGCGCTTTTCGMCCAATTTTGRCATGTTCAGTAAAAACTCATGCCACATTCTCCCAACTCTTCGATTTCCATATCAAATTTTACTTTCCAACCCGTTTATTGTGTTAAGCGCATGCATTTGRTAAATGAACACTGCTAAGAAGAAATAAAATAGAATACTTCAAGACAAGATAGTTTTCCTGGAAGCGAGTATTTTTCTCAACTTATTACAACCGATCTCGCTGTAACTGGCTCCTGGCCTTAGATTTCGATTCTGAAACCGTTTATATGGCGTGGTTGTTTCTCAAYAGGTTACGACTGGCTATAGTTTATGTCAAGCAAAAAACAAAACATCTTTGTGAGTTTATCAATCAATCAATGAAGTCCTAATTCTTCTTGGAATGATACTCCAGGGSCTTTGTTTACCTAAGATAACCTCTTGGACTCAACCATGCAACTTGAAAAGATGTAGAGCTACAAGTGGTTCTTTAGAAATGTYGAAATAAGTTTTCAACAGTTCTTGCGCACTTAAAAAAAACTTCTGGACCTACGAAAATGATCTTGAGACTACATGGGATTTTTGTTTTTGTACATGGGAATTTTGTTGTSATTCTTTGCTCTTTTTAAGTGAGTTTTCCCTATATTTGAATTGACTACTTATACTTCAAAGCATATAAAAAGCGTGTCGATTTAGAGCGTATTTACAAAGTTTGTAAATATCCCGTATTGATACTGTAAACAAAGAAATGTTTTGGAAATTTCATGTAAATTATTACGCTAAAATTATATATAGCATCTAATTTCAACAATATTTACATTGTTATAAAAAGCGGCAAATTTTCTGTAAATATTGTGGAAAAAGAATTTTCAGTTAAAGGTGTTTTTTAACATTTTTTTGTAAATGTTATGGCAATTTTGTGTAAATATTATTATTTAAATCAAATTTACATTGTCTGGGGAAAAGTTTAAATTTTCGGTGAATTGTATGGAATTTTCGTGTAAATTTTTGGTGGAAATCAAATTTACATACTTTGTAAATTTGATGTAAATATTCTTTAAGTGTTCAAAGTCATGTRGATTTTACTTCCATGATATTTACATCATATTTCCATAAAATCTACACACTTCAAAGAGGGTGATTTTTTTCGGTGTTGGGTAAACGCTGGTGTCCCAATATAGTGCTAGAAGATTATACAGGTCTTAACCCGTTCGGGTTCATCGCATACTCAAATTATATCAACTTTGTTAAGAAGCATAATAGAATACTTCAATATCATCTGGTTTGAATTTGTATGTCCCGGCCATAAAAGAACATTGATCGTTATAGCTGCAACCGTCTGGTGGTTGATAAGATCCGGGTTTTGTGAACGAGCTTGTTGAGCTACCTGCAATTTTGGTAATGAAAATGTCATGTGGATTGCCAAATGTTGGTCCATAAGCATCATCACCAAATATGGCTTTATGGTTTCTCTGGCCAGTCAGGTTGAACATGATTGGTTGGTAACCGTTGGTGTTGTACAAAGAGAAAAGAAAAGATTTGCTTGAATGGACATAAATATAACCTGCAAAACAATGGAATTCAAACTCAAAATTTTTTAACATAAAAATAAAATAAAAAAATAACCGATTTTCGAATTTCATGCACCTCAGTAGTCAAACGCAAAAGAATCAACACGGGATGCCGTACATAAAGCTTATTCAAGAGTGAAAAACTATTGTATTTTCACGAATCATCATCATCATGTCTTCTCGAGTGTCCGTATATTACCACTGCCGTAGGGAGCTCTTTCTTAAAACATTCTTCAAGGAATTGCAAGAAAAAAAATCGTTCTTCTTCATCATCGTTCTTCTTGCCTGCTGTTTGTCGATGTCAAGAGCACGCTCGACCTTGTTCCTTAGTCTAACCTGTGAGTCTCCAAACAACATTTGCTTTTGATATGAGTCCTTGTTCATTCTACATAAGTGGGYCAAGGTGCTGTTTAACACAGACGTTAGGGATAAGGAGAGTTTTAGTGAATGACTGAGCTTTGTCCACGGCGACTCGTCTTGATTTCTTTGTGTGACTACTGATTCAGAAGCAAAACTCGCAAGTCGGCTATTCTGACTAAATATTATACACGAAGAAAATTAAAGTGCACATGACACCTTTTAGAGAAACACTTTTATCCGAAAGTTTACACGCTGCCAACTACTTCTGCGAAAAAAGAAATAGATTTTGAATTGTATTTTCTGAGTTATAGACATTTGAAAATTGAAAATGCAAATGAAGTGACGTCAACTAAGGAATTGATCCAGTCTTTTTACATTGTTTGCGCTATGCTGTTCTTGGTTGAAGAGCACAAATCATCAATCATAGTAATAATTGAGAGCTGAAAATGCTTTTTTCAATGTAACAAAAAGAATAACGTTCTCTTTCATGATTTTGTATATTAAATCATTCCTTAGTAGACGTCACTTCATTTGCATTTTCTAAGTTTTAATCGCCCATAACTTACAAAATACAATTTGAAATCAATTTCTTTCTTCACAGATGAACTTAGCAGTATTTTCTCTTTTGGATGAGAGTGAATTTCTAATGGTGTCATGTGCACTTTAAGTTGAAAAGTCGTACAACCGTGGTTACAAAAAGGCATCTTTTTGAGACTGTTTGTAAAGCGAAGAGAGTGAATTTCTAATGGTGTCATGTGCACTTTAATAGAACAGTTAATGGACCCCTTTCTTTATGATGTCATATAACAAAGTCATTTACGCTGTATTTCAAGCAAAGAGGGAGGACTGGGCGAAGTCCCCTAGCTTGATCATCATCATCATCATMATYATCATCATCATTCGGCTGCAGCGCAGGCGACCACAATCCTTGATAATCCTTGATAATGGTGAGATATTACTTGAACGAARAAAGATTCCATTGAAAAATGAAATCAAACAGACACAAATACACACATTAATTTCTTTTTAACAAATGTTAATGTTGTCATTCTTGTAATTATGACTAGAAATATGCATATCGTTTTACCAGAATGCCATGACTTGTCTGTAAATCCACCAAACACGTACGAACCAACACGAATGATCGTCACACTGGCTTTCTTTCCGTCACACTGAGGGTGGAATGTCAATCGCGTATCCCATCCATCCTCTGCAGCGTGCCAGCATCGTGTCCACTTACTCGTGTTAGCGGCCGGTATTGCAGTAGCTAARTAGCTGTTCAGGGTGTTGATGTAGTTCTCTCTTCCATTGAGAATGGTCGATTTTTCAAGTCCTCCTGTAAAAACGAAAAACAGTGTCATTTTCACCCCGATATATTACTGACACTTTTTATGAAAAAAAAATTACTGAGAAAGTAAAAGGTCTTCCCTCACGTCCTAACAGGCTCGTATAGAATAGGCCCGGAGCGCAATGGACTGTCAACCCTTCAATTTTCGATATTTTGCTTGGTCATAAATGTAATACGCCTTTTTCCCGTTCAAAGCGAGCAACGGCTGCTAAGCAAAGTTAAAAACCTAAATTCTGACAAGCGGGATCGCGCAACATGATTTGGCTTGGCTCGGGGTTACTGTCTGTTCTTGTAGAGTGTCAGCTTTGTGCTCTAAGTAAAAGAATGAATAAGAAAATATAGAAGGCATACTTGTTTCTGCATCGTAGTAAAACACTTCTATGTCCGTTGGCTTGAAATTGTAAGTACTGGCCATGACCGTACATGAGCTTGCAGAGCTGCAGCCATCAGGGGCTTGATATGAGTAGGGTCTTGTGTACGATCTAGTATTACTTGATGCAAGATTTGATATATAGATATCATGATCCCCTAYTCCAAATGTTGGTCCATAACCAGCCTCACCATACATAGCATACYGGTTTTTCAGACCAGTCAGGTTTAACTGGTTGGGTTGGTARCCATTGGTGTTGTATAGGGTAAACARAAAGGATTTTGWTGTCTCGACGTACATAGAGGCTGAAGATMGGTAAAAAATATAGTCAGATAGAGAATCATAGAATCCAATCCCTAGCTAGAAACTTTTGAAGAAGGTCATAAAACCCTATTGAGATCYCATGAGATTCGAAATATAATAGACCAGCGGCCATGATGGAGGAATGAGCAATAGACACTAATGAGAAATCCTTTGTTSAAGTTCCTCCAAGATGGCCGCTGTGACGTAACTTGAAAACGAAGAATAGTGACTTAATTATCACATTACTTTTATCACATGAATTTTAAGTTAGTAAATGCAAACATTAAAAGCGTGAAAACGTAACACCAAAATAGTGCTAAAGTAGCGCAATTTATTACATTGAAGTCAAAAAATCCGTGAAATAGATATTACACTAATACACCTTAGTACTCTCTAATTGCATTGTTTTCTTTTGTGTCTATTTAACTTTCACACTTTAACRGTCAAGTTTTGTTTCACGGGTTTAATGACTTYACTCTYATGCGGATCAGTAGAAAACAAAGAAACTTRCAAAATACAGTAGAATTCAGCAATATTTRGTAAAGCTTTTCATGCTTTTAGCGTTCGCATTCGTTTCATGATATTGACTATTTTACCAGAATGCCATGACTTGTCTGTAAATCCACCAAACACGTACGARCCAACACGGATGATCGTCACAGTGGCTTTCTTTCCGTCACACTGAGGGTGGAATGTCAGTCGCGTATCCCATCCATCCTCTAGAGCRTGCCAGCATCTTATCCAATCACTCGTCTTAGAGTTCGGCACTGCAGTCCCTAAGTAGCTGTTCAGTTTATTGATGTATTTAAAGTTKCCAGACAAAATCGAAGAGTTCTCTAGTCCCTCTGTTATCAATCAATCAGTAAATTAATCAATCTTTGATGCTATCAATCAAATCATCAATCGATAAGCTGGGCCGGGTTGTTCAAAGCCCGATTAAATCCTGCAATTATGGACAAAATTCATRGGACAAAATGTATGTATATGTCTACTAAAACGTACAGACAATTTGCCCCCTTGGTTGCCCATTTCCAATGTTGGTCTCCAAAGAAACCCTCCTTTCATACCGAAACATTCCCGCCAACAACATTGAACCAAAATTGACTGTGGGGGTAGGGGAAGGGCTTGAGTGAGGATTTAAACAGCCGAATAAGAGAGCGCATCCTCTAGAGCACAGTAATAGTGCTCTGTCCAATTTAATTTTGGACGAAAAAAGGTTCAGGAGTCTATAGATCGCCTTCACTTAACAAAATGACCATCTCTATGGGTAATGCTATGATGTGACATGTTTAGGCAGATATGATGCAAATTCCTGTGTACCCAAGATCCCTTACGGTCTTCTCGCGAACCGATTACGTTTTTCAACACTGAAAATCTCTATACTCACTGGTTTGGCTGGTATAGTAAAACACTTCGATGTCATCAGGGGTAAACACGTCGCTCCCAGCGAAAAATGCGCAACCAGACGACACACTGCATCCTTTAGGAATTTCGTATGCACGAGGCGTCGTTAAGGAACCTTCATTGCTCGATGCAAGGTTTTTGATCAATATATCGTGGCCATCGCCAAATGTAGGTCCATAGCCCGTATTTCCGTATAAAGCCTTCTGGTTTCGTGACCCTGTGAGCTTGAATTGAACGGGTTGATGTCCATTCGTGTTGTACAAGGAAAAGAGGAAGGCTTTATTTGACTTATAGTAGATTCCAGCTGTAGACAGCAAGAACAACTGTTGAGTCTCAGTATACGAGTKTATCAAAGGTCCATTTTCTACCTGCATCCTTTTTGACCCTTTCTTTATGTTTTGTTAATCAAATACATCGTAATATAAGCAAAAACCTTGAAATGGTGGAAATTTGTAACTCCGACGAAGGATTAATTAACGTCCGAAACGTTAGTAAGTTTTTCCTCTACTTCTTTTTATCTTTTTGCACAAATTTAAGCAAAAACTTACTCTTTATTATCCCTTTATGCTCTATGAATGTAGCTATTGTAAGATTCGGTCTTCAAGCTGACGAATTGAAACGGATTGCGAATGGATATTTGAACTCACCTCATTTTGCATATATGAATAATCTAATACACGACCGCATTGAATGCTGGTTGACCCTGAACCCTTTGATCCTCTTGCAGAAATGTTGGATCACCGAGCACAATTTAACACTATAGGAAGATTGAACATTCTACTTTTAAGACGACAGTCGTGTTCCCGTTAGATGTTACTGGTTGGAGCGTCAAATGTTTTAAATGCAGTTTTTCAAAAACTCATACATAATTAATGAGCTACTAGGCCAATAGAATGAGACTATTTGGTCACATGCATGGACTCCTTATTAGTATTCTTTATATGACCTTTATCAGATATAAAGATCCATGAACCTAGCAAAGGTCTCAGGTTTGAAACTTGATCATTGATCAATGCAGGATGTCAACYGATTGCAGTAAACAGCCAAGAGCGCTTCTATTTTACTTTATGCGTATTCAATGTGGGATGACAAGAGTGCTYTGTAAAGTGATTCGCGCATGATCAGTYTGCCCCATTTATCTCYGAACATATTTGTACGGCAATTTCTCCAAGAATTTTAACGGATTTGAGTTTCAAATTAGTGTTTTAAGTCGTTTTTTAATTTAGTTTTTTAAGTCGTTTAAAACACTCGAGATCGTGTTTTATCAGGTATAAAGATTCTCTCCTTCGGCTCGAATCTTTATACCTGATAAAACACTCTCTCTCGTGTTTTAAACTATACATAAAGTCATCCACAGCGTATATTTTGCATGGATTCTATCGGCTTGATAAAGGTCTATCCGAATTGATAGCGCTGTATATTATAACAGTCCGGAGAACAAAGAAAGACGGTTTCAACGTTACCTACCAGAATTCCAGGCTTTGTCTGCAAATCCACCAAAGACGTACAAACCAACRCGGATTATTGTGAGGGTGTTTTTCAAACCATCGCACTGAGGATGGAAGGTTAGCCTTGTATTCCAGCCATCTGTGCGAGCATTCCAGCATCTCAGCCACTTGTTGGAACCCGACAATTCGACAACTGGTTCCACGAATTGTAATAAATCACTTATAAGGTACTTAATATGGCCATATCCATGGAGAATCGCTGATTGGCCGAGTCCGGCTTAGGAAGAAAGAGAACAACTTTAAAGTGATTATGAAGGGAATTTCTTTATTTTAACAAAAGAGTCAATAGAACAAGAATAACAGCTTGGCTAACTACCAGACTTCAAATTTCAGAGAAAATTGGAGTTAAAAACTCATTATGCTAATTTGATGACGTCATCTGATAGACTATCAAAGTAAACTTTGTAAACTGTCTTTTGTAATGAGTGTTCCTAAATTTACCMCTGCCAAACAGTGAAAGATTGTTTTCGGTAACAAATATATACTTTCTAAAAAACAATAAGGTGAAAATAAAAAAATGGAATTGAAAAGGTCTAATCTGGGACGAAACTAGTTTTCCTTAAAATAAAGTTTCTTGGCGTGACTGTGTGTTAGAGACTTCACGTATTGGGTTTAATCCTGTCCAGCATTATGAAATTGAAAAAGTCTTTATATGTTCGAATTTTACAAATATCAAACAAAAAAATGGACAATTTTGTATAATAAATGAGTCAACAACTTGACAACATCAAATTATTAGGATATTTTTTTTTTAATCCAGTTTTCTTTGAAATTTGAAGTCTGCTTCCAGTGGCACTTTGTAGAACTATTATTCTCGTTAWATTGATTCTATTTTGGAAATTTAAAAAAAATCTCTTCATAAGAACATTAAGTAACAATGCGCTAAAGAACTAGGGAACTCTCTATTGTTCWGCGGCATAGCAAGTTCCCCATGTACAAATGTCTTGATTTTCACACTGATTATATATCAACCTATGGGTAACACATTTTTGAAATAAAATGTGGATAAACTCTTTTTTGAAACAAAGTTTCTTTTGTATTAAAACCTCTTATCCAATCATAAGCACTCAAAACAATAGCCAAAAGAAGCTTCTAATTTGCTACGTTCCCCATATAGAATTGCCTCAATATTGTAGCTAAAGAAAGCTTTCGTGAAGTCGGAATCAGATATTAAATAAAATATTAGAAAATGCGCTAACTTGTGAAATTATAGCAGATTTTCTTGTTTAAACCAATGGGATGGATGGATTATACAATACACAATTAGCACCTTCTTGCATTCCTTTGCCGTTTGCTTC